TTTTAAAAAAGATTTTATTTATTTATTTATTTATTTATTTATTTATTTGAGAGAGAGAGGACAAGGGGCAGAGCGATGGGGAGAAGCAGACTCCCCGCTGACCACGGAGCCCGATGTGGGGCTCAATCCCAGGACCCTGAGATCATGACTTGACGCTTAACCAACCGAGTCACCCAGGTGCTCCGATAATGCTTTTATAAATGTTTTCTGGCACAGGAATTCGAAGGCTTTCCTCTATCTAGCATGATTGATTTTTTAAAAACTATTGATAGCATAGAAATTGATTTCCAGCTTACCAATTCATTTTCAAGTCAAAATGATGTTCATTTTCAAAAATGTCACGTAAATTTTTAGAATCCGTTGCCAGGCTTGGAAAGTCTATCAAATTTCTTGCGTGTATGAGCTCTCAGATTTCAGGGTATTTCAAGTTTCCTTACACAGCAACTAATCTTAAATGTTCTTTGAACTGGTGACTCTCCTCAAACAATATGTCACTGACGGCCTTGTTTAGTGCTATACTATTTTTGTGATAATCATTGTCAATATCAGTATTCCTTATCAAATTGGCAAGAATTTTAATTTTATTCATCTGTGTTTATATGATTCACTTTTTTTAATGAACTAAATTAGCAAACAACCCAAGTGCCTATCCATTGTTCCTATTCACAATTTCTTTCTTGCTCTTCATGTATGATTGATTTTTTTCGTTATGATCTAAAAGGATCCTTCAATTGTCATTCTTTTCTCTGTATCCATGTAATTTCTACTGATTTGGAATATGTATCATATACATGATACATCTATTGATTTCATATATAGTTTTTTTACTCATAGAGTGAGATGATATATATGAAATGCATATTATATGTAGTGAAATCCATAGCATGTGAAAATATATTTCATATACTTGAAAATAAATATCATCTGACATGTTTCATACACACACATATAATTTCACTGTATCATGAGATTATTATCATTTTTTAAATTTTCTTTTACATTTATTCATGAGAGACACACAGAGAGAGAGGCGGAGACGCAGGCAGAGGGAGAAGCAGGCTCCATGCAGGGAGCCCCGTGTGGGACTTGATCCCGGGACTCCAAGATCACACCCTGGGCCAGAGGCAGGCACTAAACCGCTGAGCCACCCAGGGATCCCAATGAGATTATAATTGTATACACTGAACTATCACGGTCTGCTCCTAATGAGCGAGAACTTCCATTTTGACTTGAAGTTACTGAGAACTAAATCTTCTAATTTGACTCACCTCGTGATTGGAAGTTTTTCCACAGACCAGCTTCTGGCTTTCTGTATTTCAAACTTGCTTTCTCCTCCACTACCCCATACTTCTGGTGCTTCTAGGCATGATTGATAGCACACATTAATATTCTTTGCTTCTGGGCCTAAATGTCATGGTTCCAGATGAGTCATCCCGGGAGAAGATGGAAGTATTCCTGAAAGCCATTCCTACATCAGGATGACTAATAATAACTTAGGTATAATTACAAATATTTCCCACTAAACCCACTCTCTCCTAGTCAGATTTTTTTTTTTCTGAGTCAGATTTCAAAAATGCCATGGCCATCTCCAGTGCCACCCAATACAAGGACGGGGTGTCGTAGTGGAAAGAGACTTAACGAATTATGGATGAAATATATTACTTTTGCAAATTTTACCAAAACGTATGAGCATGTGGAAGCGTTGCCTTGAAAGGGGCCCAGGTGTGCCGTGAGCCTTTAAGCTTCATTAGTTTCCTGGGCAATCCACTTCAAGGAACAGGAGTAGGTAACTGGATAATGCATTCTATCAGAACCTTCTCCATCCTCTATTGTTGAATCCACCTATGGTGTTGCATGGTTGTGCATATATTTTAATACAAGCTCATATATGCCATATCTCTTTCTTTCATCGTTCCAACATTTCCAATGGAAATAGCTATGTTAGAACCATAGTTCAAAGCAATCTATTGCAGGGGCACCTGGGTGGCTCAGTTGGCTAAGCATCTGCCTTTGGCTCAGGCCATGATGCCGGGGTCCTGGGATCCAGCCCCACGTTGGGCTTCCTGCTCAGTGAGGAGTCTGGCTCTCCTTCTCCCTCTGCCCCTCCCCCCCGCTCATGCTCCCTGTCCCCCCCCCCCTCAAATAAAAAAAGTAGATTCTGGGATCCCTGGGTGGCGCAGCGGTTTGGCGCCTGCCTTTGGCCCAGGGTGTGATCCTGGAGACCCGGGATCGAATCCCGCGTCGGGCTCTCGGTGCATGGAGCCTGTTTCTCCCTCTGCCTGTGTCTCTGCCTCTCTCTCTCTCTCTCTCACTGTGTGCCTATCATAAATAAATAAAATTTTAAAAAAAGTAGATTCTTTTTTTTAGTAGATTCTTTTTTTAAAAATGTTTAAAGCAATCTATTACACACAGAAACAATTTTTAGTAGTTATTTTTCCCCATATGAAGCAAGAGTTGTACTTTCAGGTTAAGAAAGAAATGTGTATGTGATGATTTCAATAACGCTAACACTTTGCCAGGAATATAGGAGATTTTAAAGGAAATAAAATTATTTCTACACTACCACAATGATAAAAGTTTCTGCCTATTATGAAAATAAAACTTTGAATAAAGTGTAAAACAAGCCATCAGCAAGTTGTTGAAAAGGCTTTATTCTTCTGACTAACAATGCTTGCCTGTTTGAATAAGATTCACGTTTTCTTTCTAAATCTCATCTACAAAGCTTTATAAAATTAATCTAGATTTATTAATCATTTCTGTATCTTTCATCAGTAGCCCGAAAAATCTTAATGAAGACTCTACTGACATTAGAAGATCCATTGCAAGAAGAAAGACTCTTTGTGTAGATTTATGGGGGCGGGGCGGAGGGGGCATGCAGATAAATCTGTGTCCTCCTGGATCTTAGTGAATTTTTTCTGGTCCAGCGTGTGTGTGTGTGTGTGTGTGTGTGTGTGTGTGTGTGTGTGTTTCTCTTACATACAACCCAACCAAACACTTCCTTTTGCAAATATTATGATTATCATTATCTCTGTTGCACCAGGGGAATTTTCAGCATTCTAAAAATAATTTCAATTCTATGGAGTCAGAATGTTTTTAGTTACTGCTGCGCAAACAGTGGGGTTTCACATCAGATCCATTTTGAAATACTATTAAAGACTCAGAGAATGATAAAAATATGAAAAATGCTTTGAAAATTAGGATAAGTAAACCTGATTAAAATCAACTTCTATACTAGCCAAAGGATAAAATTCTAGTGTTAATGGTTGAGCTCCAAGGCCTGATAAAAACCTGTTTCCTTTCTCTCTTCCTCATCTTCTGTTTGCTTCCTTTCTCACTGTCTTTTTTTCTGTGCTACTTCAACAGCAGCTAGGACTGGTTTTAGCTCCACGTTTAACCCCTTGTGTACCGGCCTTCGTCAGAAATCCTCAATCTAGGAGTAAGGAGCCAGGTAGGCTCAAGGCAAAAGGTATGCCTTAAGGCAAATTGTTTCCTTCTTGTTTTCTTCCCAAGTCACCTGCTGTTGATTTTAAATTTTTGTACAACTGGATTAACATTTCCTCTCCCACTTGTACATATTTCATGATCATTATAAGCAATTCATTTTATTATCCCCTTCAGCCATGCAAAATTAACTTTTTCAATTTGATTCATTTTGCTCATAAATACCACAATGAAGACTAGTTACCGAGGTCTAAAAATTGCTCAATTTTTATAAAAAGCTTGAGGGTAAAAATTAATATTCGTGGAGATTGCCCAGGGAAAGTGAAATCCATTGCTGACTCTAGATCTTCATGAACCCCAGGTTAAGGACCTTTGCGGTAACCGAGCATGTACATTAGTTATTACTGCATAACAAATAACCCCCCAATTCTCGGGAGCTTGCAACAACAAATATCTATTTTTTCATGCACTGGTCTCTGGATCAGCTACAGCTTGCTAGTACTCATCTGGGATTAGGAGGATTTGCCGCTTTCCCTCTTCCTCCTCCTCTTCCTCTCCCTCTGTGAAGACTGTGAGCCTTCCCCCCAGGTGGGTGTTCACATTTGCTCTCTCTCTTTAAAATAACAAACAAACATAAAGAAATAAAATCTTTAAAAATAAAATAAGATAAATAAAAACAGAGAGATCTAGGGTTTGAGCCATTATATAAGCATCTGATCCCAGCCATTATTCTTTGTTTTGTGTTTTGGGGTAATTTTTTAGCTCTGTGCCTTTCATCTTCTCATTATGGACCAATACTATTAGCTTGATTCTTCAGTTTTTCAAATATTCAGTTCCTTTCCTCTTACATCTGGCTTTGGAGTATTTCAGAGGTTAAATGGGGCACTTTCCATAATTGGAAAAATATACGGCAGAGGTTGGGGGTGCTGTAAGCTTAAGAATGCAAGGAGGTGACACTTTAGGTAATAATACAATTCATCCGGACACATGGTAAGTGCTGGCGAGATATCTATAAATATTAATAGGTTATCTTTATATTATGTGTCCGTTTTAGTTATTTGCCTTTTTCTGGAGTCTTCATGAATAATGATACTGACTGTGAGCCTGACCCTTTTAGATAAATGCTACACTATATAATTATATTTTAGAGATACAATATTATTTGAAAAGTCACCTCAATCCTATTCAGACGTATTGCATTATGTCCGGGACTCAAGATCTTTGACGAATGCAAACTTCAGTGACATTACTCATTACATTTAGTGGAGACAGGTTGGCTGTGGGCATATTTTTAGCTCCATTAGATACATGAAATTGGATTGTGCTTTTATGTTTTTGGATTTCCAGACCTTCTGTATCTTCTGAAATCCAAAGTCTGCTTATGGGGTAGCTTGAAAATATGTCTACAAATTCTCTGGTATTGCTTCCTTAAGAGGTTAAGTCTAATTCCTCTCCCCTTGAGTGTGGGCTGTACTTAGTGACTCACTTCTAACAAACAGAATGTGACTAAAGTGATGGTACGGGACTTCCAAGGCTGCGAGCTCGAAGTGTGGCCTCTCCTTGCTGTTTCTTTGATAGCTCATTCTCAGGGAAGCCAGCTGCCATGTTGTGAGAACACTCAAAGAGCCCTACGAGGAGGCCCATGCTGCAAGGGACAGGGGCCTCCTGTCCACAACCATGTGAGCACACCATCTTGGAAGCAGATCCATCAGCCTTCGACAGCCTTCAGATGACTGCAGCCCTGCTGATGTCCTAACTACAAAATCTCAAGACACCCTGAGTCAGAATCCCCCAGGTAAGCTGCTCCCAAATTCCCATCCCACAGAAACTGTGAGGTGGTAAGTGCCGATTGCTTTGAGCCACTGTTTTGGAGTAATCTGTGGGCAGCAAAGGATAAACAACACAGCTTACCACAGAACTTTGCTGCTGGAAACTCTCCTGAAGGATTTGATATCCACACCATGTGGTGTCTACCATAAGCAGAGTCTGAACTACACGGTGGGTTCACCGTGGTGAGGAAAACAAACCCGGAATCTGCTTTTGGGCAGCTTATCTTTGAATTCCACAAACACGGAGTGAAAGAAAAGGAGCCAAACGTTTGTGATGTTGAGGAAGTTACTTAATATCACTTGCCCTTGATTTATGAAATAGAGAATAATATTTACTTTGCATTGCTGTGAGGTTGAGAAATGACATTAAAGTACCTAGCACGAGTTGTCACTCGTAAGTGCTTGTTATTATTATTAGAGAGGTGGATTTTCACCACCAGCTTTTTTAATTTTTTTCCAGACTTCAAGTTAGAGCCCCTGCATGATGCCAAAAATGTCTCATCATTGCATGAGGGTGGAAAGCAGCATTGTCACTGCTGGTTTTGGAAAGTTAGTAACTTGACTAGGAAAAGCTCTCCACTGTCTTTCTCAAAACTGTTGGTTTTAAAACCTCTCAGGGAAATGATGGTGCCATGGTTTAGATTTGACTCAGCGCCTCTCATGAGCTGGATGTGAATGGATCTTCTCATTACTAATCATTTAGAATAATAAATAAGCAAAGTTTTCACTCTGGTGTGCCAACATATGAAGTGCCATCAGCCATTTTTTTTTTGGAAGGAAGGGGGGATGCCTGGGTGGCCCAGCGGTTTAGCGCCTGCCATGTGATCCTGGAGTCTTGGGATCGAGTCCCACGTTGGGCTCCCTGCATGGAGCCTGCTTCTCCTTCTGCCTGTGTCTCTGCCTCTCTCTCTCTCTGTGTGTGTCTCTCATGAATAAATAAATAAAATCTTAAAAAAAAAAAAAGGAAGGAAGGGGAATATTTCTTATGCTGGCCCATGCGTGTGATATTTTATTCCAAAGCAATCCTTTCATCATTTAGGTAAGTACATATCCACCATCCCATTATTTAATCCAAAATTGCAGGGGTTCCTCCTTGCCTTAATTATATTGTAGCTTCAACTCCCTGTCATCAGTTATATCGATTTCTTAAGCCGTTGAGACAAGGGGATCTGACACGTACCCACTTTATGCTCCTCTGCTCTAATATTCTGGGACTATTTTTCAAGAGAAAAAGCTCAGAACCTAAAGTTTAGGTAGACGATCAGCAATTTTAAGAGCCCGAATGTAGATAACTGATGTACAAGGTGAAAGAACTAGATGGCGATGAACAAGACAGTGGCTCTGACCAGAGAGCAGGATCCTTGGCTGCCATTTCCTTATATGCGTAATCGCGGCTCCTGGATTGCTCTGTTGTTATGGCAACCACCACTGTATATCACACTGAAATCTGGTATTGAAATGTACTAGAAGCACAAAGCATACATTTTTCATATTTTTCCCAAGTTCTTTTTTCATGGTTTCATGTAGCAATCCAACACGAAACATTTATTGGAGCTTTAAAAATCATAAATCCATACTCTCCCACTCTTGAGATTTGGAACTAGCTTCTATGACTGTAATGGCAGTTCCCCCATCAAACGGATCGAATACATTCAAACAATTAGACACTCTCTCAGAGGAAGGGGGGGCGGGGAGGGATTGCCCTTGGTGATCTTCCGTGAAGCTAATCTACATCCCTGTTCGCTGATAGAAGCAGAATTAGTCTGCAGATTCCAAGCTGCAGAGAGAGACAATGTGGGGAGATTTCAAATGAGGAGTTTTTGCTTCTATTCCATCAGCAACAGATCAATGTTGCAGTTCGTGCTGCTCTTTTTAATTCATGTGGTAAAGCCAGAGCCTTCCTGAATGAAGACTGGTTGCTCCTCTCTTAGAGCCGCCACTAGCTCCTTCTTATTGCGGCCTCCATGAGACACGCCCTTATCATCAGAATTGCTGGCATTCAAATAATGCGGAGAAGGCTGTAGATTAGAGTTAAATACAGAGCACTAAAACTGTTTTAAAAAAAGAAAACTTTCACCAAAAAAAAAAAAAAGAAAAGAAAAGAAAACTTTCAATAACCTAATTCAGGAACTACCAAGGATGCCTCCTAGAAAGAATTTTGCATTAAGCACTCCTATCAAGAGAAAGACCCACATCCATTTATCCGACACATTTAATTCACATTATTCCTCCTTCTCTAGGGAAAAGATTATATAACCGAAAATATTATAACACATGGAAGTAGGACACAGGAAAACCCTGTTGTCGAGTACATTGCTGACCTGATCTGAGTTTTTTGCAAACATTTCTTAGATGCAAACTTAACAGCTGTTTTCAATAATAATACTATTATAATACTCATTGCCAAGACTAGAGCATGTTGCTAAGAATTTGTAAAGAGATCAAAGATCTGGAGTTTTATTTTATTTTAAATTCTTACCCTCTATTTTTTTTTTTAAGATTTTATTCATTTATTCATGAGAGACATAGAGAGAGAGAGGCAGAGACACAGGCAGAGGAAGAAGCAGGCTCCATGCAGGGAACCCGACGTGGGACTCGATCCCGGGTCTCCAGGATCAGGCCCTGGGCCAAAGGCAGGCGCTAAACCACTGAGCCACCCGGGGTTCCCAGATCTGGAGTTTTAAATCTACTTTTTCAATATGAGAGATAATTTGCTGGTTGCAACATCCTTGCCTTGTGATTTTTTATTTTATTTTATTTTATTTTTATTTTTATTTTTGGTGGAAAAGCCATTGCCATCCACTGGACAATCGCGTTTTAGAAGACAGCTGGAGAGGAAGGAAAGATTTTTCTTCTAATAGCCGAACAGCCCTAAGCTCGAATTTGTAAACTTTGGAAATGGAAATAAAAGTAAAGGCTGAATGAATCAAAATGCCTTTGAGCCAGAAAGCGAGATAGGACGGAGGACAGAATGTCAGCTGATGTATTTTGCTTCCATTCTAGTACCATGGGCAGACTCCAGCTGCTCAGGGGCCTCTTGAAGGAAATGCCCCAACCAGAGGCCTTAGAGAAGGGGACGAGGCCATGCAGTTCCCAGTCGGGCCACTGTCGAGGAAACTGCTGACCTGGTGAGCTTCTGGAATGGATAAGCGGTGTGGTCAGGGCAAATGGCCCGTCGGCCTATACAGCTAGCATCTGACGTTCCTCATGAGGGGTCAGGCTTCTGATTAGGCAAGCTCTGCATTCCTCCTCGGTCTATTAAACCAAGGACTGTGCCTTTGGTACCAGGGCACCCAACCGTGATGCCAAGTCACAACCCATCAAGGCATATGCCGGACGGTGTATACTAGAACATTTTCATCATAGCCAGAAGGTCTGTTCTAAACACACAACAGGTGCTAAAAATCAATCAAGGTGATTGGGATGGCTTTGGAAATACGTCTTGAGATAACAGACAAGCTTCAAATGCTTCAAAGTACACGACACTGTAGAAATGAAACCTAATACGTTTTGGCGGCTGAGGGAAAATACACAGGGAAGTCAAGTAGAACTTATGGAATGTTTTTCAAAATTGGAAAACTGTACTCAACGAAGATGTGTGGCCCTTCCCCATGCCAGATACTGTGCTAGGTATGCGTCCCAAACCAAAGAGGCATACATCCTAGCCTCATGGTGTGTTCTAGAGAAGGCCAAACAACCACATAGGAATGAGCAGTATGGGTGACTTCTCTGGACCCCTTCTCGGAAACAGAGCATCGACACCCCAGCTGTTGGGAGTGTTGCCCAACTAACTGCTTTCAGCTGCCACCCTCCCCAGCAGCAAAGAACACTGCATCTGCCGTGTTTTTGCACAGAAAATCTATCCAAATATAAAATGAGGGATTGGGGTGCCCGGGTGGCTCAGTAGGTTGACCGTCTGACTTTGGCTCAGGTCATGATCCCGGGGTCCTGGGATCAAGTCCTGCATTGGGCTCCCTGCCCAGCGAGGAGTCTGCTTCTCCCTCTGCCTCTCCCTCTGCAAATTCTTCTATCTCTCTCTCTCTCAAATAAATAATTTTTTTTTTAATGATTTCCTCCCTTCTCTGTGACCTCTCAGTATTTTCAAGAGACACAAGCCATTGGGCAGCCAAAAGCACAAAGGAAAAATTCTAGGGAAGCAGTGATTAATGTTGAAGAGAGCGAGGTCGTAGTAAGGCAGGTTTTTCTTATTTGACATAGCATGGTTCTGTGAAATTTGGGGCTTGGGGTTGCAAAGGAAATGATGTTTACAGACCAAGTGAGTTCAGAAGGAAAATCCAGTGTTGGCTGGAAAAAGATTAGAGGCTCAGCCAGGGTAGCTAAAACAAGGCATCCTTATCCTTGTGATGGAGAAAGGTCTTTTTTTATTTTTTTAAAAAGATTTTTACTTATGTATTCATGAGAGACACAGAGAGAGAGGCAGAGACACAGGCAGAGGGAGAAGCAGGCTCCCTGCAGGGGATGCGGGACTTGATCCCGGGACCCCCGGATAACACCCTGGGCTGAAGGCAGATGCTCAACCGCTGAGCCACCCAGGGGCCCTGAACCCTGGTCTTTGCAGGAGGAATTTCTCCATTCTCTGGAGGGCAGTGCTGAGCCCAACACCAGAATTTTCTCTTCGAAGCAACTGCCCATCTTGTCTTTTGGTGCTTTACTGTGCTAGTGCTTATCCCAGAAGCTTGAGATGGAATTCAAAGCTTTCTGGTTTGAGCCAGTTCTGCAGGTCCTTGAACCCAGGAATGCACTCTCTGCTCCTTCCTGCGCCTCCATCTGCCTGTGAAGAACAAAGCCCGCAGGCAACTCAACGAAGTCTTCCCGCTGGAGGGAGAGAGCATCCAGTTCCCTGCGGGCCCCAGTGTGGCCCTTGGCCCAGCAGCACCGGCAGCCCCGGGGCCTGTGGCAACCGCACGACTTCAGGCCGGGCCCTGGGCTTGCGGAATCGGAGGCC